CGGTATTCAGTCATCGTATCTGGTCCGTATTCCTGCGGCCGGGCCGAGCATCGCCTCAGCCGCTCACCCGGCCGTTGCATACCCCTGGCCAGGCCAAGCGCAGAACCACCAATGTACCGAGCCTCTTAACAGATACGCAAACTCTGCAGGCATACGTCCATTTGTTCCCTGATTACAATTTGCACAGACAAATTTGTATCTGATGATAGACGCGCTCAAAGACACATCTAACCTAGGTACGAAAATTGACTCTCCCCTGGGTGGCATTGAGAGCATAACCTGTCCCAACGCACCTGACTTGCAGGTGCGTGCAGCTGCTAATGCGCCACCCGTGCATTGACGTCAACAAGGCGCACGGGCGCAGGGGCCTGACGGCTGTGCACATGGCGGCCAAGGGTGACGCCCCCGCCGCCATGTTGAGCCTCCTGCTGGCCGAGGGGGGCAGCCGCTTGGTTGTGGACGCCGGCAGTGACATTGATGGCCGCACGGCGCGGGAAGTCATCAGGGACAAGCACCCACAGCTGGCAAGACATCTGCCGCCACTCCAGGCGGGCACGCACGGTAAGGTCTCTTCCAAATGTTATTGGCTGAGCGATTAGCGAAGCCCATAACTCCACTGACCGGAAACGTTTCATTCTGTCAGTTTGTTTGTCCGTCTGTACGCACGATAACTCGAGAAAAAATTCACTGATAAACCAAGTGTTCAACTGCTCAACACTTGTAGGTGTGCAACTGAAAGTTGAATACTTTCAAGTGTTCAATTCAGAAGTAGTACACTTGCTAGTGTTAAACTCGGTATTTGTGCACTTGTAAGTGTTTAACTCTCCTGTTGTACACTTCTCTAGATCGGGCGCTTACTGTGAGGGAAGTGTTTCAACAGAGGAGTTCCACACTTACAAGTGCACTAATTCCGAGTTGGACACTTGCAAGTGTACTACTACTGAATTGAACACTTGCAAAGTATTGAACTTGCGGTTGCACACTTACAAGTGTTGAGCAGTTGAACACTTGGTTTATCAGTGTTAAGATAGCGACCTCGGATTTTCAGGGTCGTTTTGTATCATAAAAAGACAGATCAAGTTCGAAGATGAGCACTCTAGCTCGAAAATTGACTTTTTAAAAAACCAATAACCTACCCCAACAAAATATTATTTTTCAAATATTTTTTAATGGTCTCCTAATGGATAACTAGTGAAAATAGAAGGCTACGGACGAAAATTTTGTCCGTTTTGCTCTATATTGTACCGTTTCGACGCTATGGGGCACTTCTTGGCGAAATAAACAACGTGAAAAAGACAAAATGGTCTATTAAATCGTAAAAAAGGCTTCATGTCACTGAATTGTAAAGGGAGTAATACTTAGACTACACGTTACTGGTCGAGCCACACCCTCTTTTGGGCTTAAGGGTCCCTAGATTATCTACTATCACTAAAACGTTGATTTTTACATAAATCTGACAATATTCAATTTTTTAATGAAAACCGTTACCGAACATCAGAAGTTTCATGTCCCTAACTTTAGAGAAATAAGACCTCGACAAATGGTTCGAGTATGTCAAATTTTGGACCCGGAAGGCCCTGTTCCCCTATACTCTCTCCTTAACTCGTCTCGGGTGTCAGCGCCGCAGGCGTAGCTGTATGTGTGCCAGGCGCGTCGCAGCGTAACAGTGTTTCGTGAGATATCACGAAGCCTGTTACGCGAGACGTGGTCTGGCGTACATAGAGCTAGTATTCTGCAAAGACAAGCTACGTCAGATTATTTCTACCCCCAATGAAACATTTCCGAGCAAACGGTTGTGAGGTTTTGGCATGGCCCGCATCAGCACCAAGGGCACCAAGCAACTGCCGAGCACGTTCGAGTAATACTAAAGCAGCCCCCCGAGTAAGGGGCCGTGAAGGAAATGCGTGATACGTTTTATGGCCTTTTTTTGGCCCCTCCTCCTTTGAGGTCTTCGTGACAACTTCGTCACATCCGACTGGTGTGGAGAGCCATCGGGGGGGTGGGTGTACTGTAGCAACAGATCGACTACGAGAGCAACAGATACCTGTGACAGTCCTACTCATGTTGTGGTCCTCTCATTCGGTTTTATTTCGCAAAATTACAAACGGCAATCCGGAAACAAGGACCAGATCTCACATTTCTGATTGAGTGATGATCAGCATTTTAGTACAATGAGAAATAGCAAAATTACGGACGTTTTCTAATTTTCAGAAAGGGTCAATATGACCCCTGCCGCGGTTTTAGGTATATTATCATTTCACAACTTCCACAAAAATAGTCGTACAGCTTCAGGATTTCGTGTCAATATATTTGTCATCGTTTTACACGATGTCAAAAATTTTCAACTCGGCAAGAAAAAAATAAATATAGAAATTATAAACTGAAAATCGAAAAGGGTCAAAATGACCCCTGCCGCGGTTCTAGTGTTAAGCCTTGATCGGAAAAAAATAATAATATAATACACGTCGTTTACACCGTACGCAGCCCAAGACAAATTGTCAGCCGACAGTTTGTTCTTCTACCTGTACAGCCGCGAGAGCGAGCGGTTTCTCGCGGCCCTACATCAGCAGCACTTCCTCCAGCATGCAGGACTCCTGGATGCCGATGATGGTAGCCACACGCTGCTGCAGCTCGCCAGCAAGGTCAGAACTGTGGTCGGAGCCTCATAATCCTCGCTCCGCATGACGGAACTTTACATCTGAGCATTTTAGCACACTAACGACGAACGCTCAGCCACTACGGGCTTATGTGCCCATCGTGTGAACAACGGAAACCAAAATCCAAGTTATCGTTTATGCCCAAATAAAACCGTAAAGCTGCAATGTTTGATTAATTCTTGTTACTTTAAGTCTGACTTTCTGGAAATAATACTAAAAACTGTTTCTCTGCCATAGTAGCAGTTTGCATGATGAACGGGTCCATAAGGGCAATTCCAGAGAGACTGTCCGTGCGTAACGGTCCTAAAACTCACAATTCGAGGGCTGCTGCGGGCGAATGAATGGTGCCAGACTTTGGCGAGGCACACGAATGAACGCTCAATGTTACCAATGGTACCAATTTTGCGGCCCCCGGATAAGCCAATCGTCTGCAATATGTTGATTACAGTGTCGTTACGCACGGACTCAAAACGGAACTCGAATTTGCTATAAACGCGATGACCTTTAAATTTAACCTGTACAGTTGTAGATCTGCTACACGTGATTTCTGAAGCAGAAAAACGTGCTGAATCAGTAGACACGTCTGGTTTTATTCGAACTGAAGTAGTTTAGCCAAAAAACTAAGAAAATGACGGATTTTTTTTGCCGTTGTTGCGATCTGGAATTGCCCATAATAGTTCCAAAACTAGTTTGTTTTTTTCGATTTCGGACAAACAAGTCCGAGCACAATAAATTTGAAAGGACTTTTATTCTCATTATTGTACGTAGAAAGACGCGTTTTTGTGCACATCTCATCCGGATGCAGATTATAATCTAGCGAGTGAGTAATTTGCACCTTAATAATGGACAATAAAATAACAGACCAGTAAAAGGGTACTGAGGAGAGTGTGCTCTCAGGAGAGCGACAAATTTTTTATGTCACTGATCTCGCTCTCCCGAGACAAAGATATCTGACTGTAGAATTTGCAGTGAATGGAGCCACTAACACGCATACGGCTGCAGACTTTTCTTCGAGGAGAAAGATTTTCGACACAACTGTGATCCATAGTGTAGATGATGCAGAGAAACGCGGGCCAGAAAGCCAAGACGCGCTGCTGAAGACATCTTTAAGTCTCGTTGAATCGGATAGATGAAAAAAGTGAAAGAGCGGGAGGCGAACCACCGAACCACTGACTATAAGTCCGGATCGCTCTCCACTGGACCAGAGTGGGGGGACGCAGGTGGGTGTGTCACTTGACGTACTGGTCCCGCCCAGAAAGAGGCTAGCCAGATATGATGCAGACATCTTTAAGACATGCCTGATCCATCGCATACTTAGCACAGTGCCAGAGTGAGGCGCAGGACGGACCAAGCATGTCTTAAAGATGTCTCCATCATATCTGAATAGCCTCTTTCTGTGCGGAACCAGTACGTCGAGTGACACATCGACCAGTGTCGTCCCACTCTGGCCCAGAGGAGAGCGAGCCGCATTTCTAGTCCAGCAGTCAGTGCTTCGCCTCCCACTGGCGGCCCGCCTTCACTTACTTTTTTTCGTCTATCCGATTGAGTGTGTCTCAAAGAGGGGGGGGGGGGGGG